CACCCATGTTACGATGCTCAAAAAACAGAGCATTGGTTTGGTCTAAAATTTCATTTGATTCCAGGTTGAAGAGGGGAGCAGTATTCTGGATACATCAGCAATACAGTTTTGTGCAAGGAAAGTGTCAGCCATGGCTGGGGATATGAGAAAAGCCTTAGATATTTGCAGGTAATACCAGTGATCAGAAACTTAAGCAAACATCATTGTACTCCTTATCATTATCTGACAACTCTTGTTGAATAGTACATACTTGTTTGCTTTGGATTCCTGGGTTTCGAAAGAGACATGTGGGGCAAAGATTCTTGTCAAAGAAAAGGACTTGATCAAAGAGCTGCAGGAGCCAACTTGAAATTTCCACCTCAATCTGCTCTGGAATATTCCAGCAACATCCCAATTATAACAATAACATTGTAAGGAGTTTCTCTGATTCCAAAGTATTCCATGTCGTTTTTTTCAGGAGAGCAGTTGAAGTTGTAGAATCTGGAGAAAGGAAACAGCAAATTTTACAGCCTGTCCATACAGGTACGAAACATTTTCTAGAATGATCGAAAAGTTACATACTGCTATACCCACAAATACATTATGTAGCAGGGCTAATCTAGGTAAAGGTTTAGAGCATACTGTAAGATTCATGAAGTCCAGGAAGCTTCAAAATAATTTTTCTATAAACATGATACCCCTAAGTCATTAATTTGTAGTCTACTCATGCACCTATAGAGTGTGATAAAGTGCAGCTGTACTGCAGCTGTTTGACTGAGATTTGTCATTGCTTAGCTTTCATGCCAATTATTACCAGCAAAGTTAGGAAAAGGTTTCTAATTCTTTCCAGAAAATGAGTTACTGTACTGCTAGCCTGCACCACAGCCAGAAATAAACTTCTGGTTATAAGTCTGTCTGCAAAGGAGCGCTGAAATCCTTGTTCTGGGCCCTTCCCTGTGTGCAAGGATTTGAGCACATGCCATGATTGGCCTGTAAAAAAAGCCATCGTCAACCTGCCAATCAGGTTGAAGGTAAATTTGAACAACCTTTCCGTTAATTTGTTGAGAGTCTGTTGTGGGCCAGAACAAGGATATCGGTGCTGCTTCACAGAAGTTGACTAACTGGGGTTAGATAATGTCTTTAATGCAGGCTACTTTTATACTGCCAGAAGCAGTTTTTCGCTGTAGTATACTTACCATGCCCTTAAATTATTTCTCTTTAGCTGAATCTCCTCGCAAAAGACCTGAAACTCCACCAAAGCCTAAAAAGGTTGGAATTTCCCAAATAGCCAGTGTTGTAGCAGAAGTTTATGGATCTCGTCTGGTGGCAGGACCTGGCATTGAACAGCCAACTATTCCTTTGCAGCAAAAACTTCTCATCTGTACCTTCCTATTAATGACAAAAGATCGCAACACCAAAGAGGTTGTGTTAGGAAAGGTAGGTTTTGAATTTCAAGTTAGCTTCTTTCACAAGCTTACAAACAGAACTGGGATATCTCCTGTGTAATTTCTTATCCGTCGACATGTTGGTATACTATCAGCTGACTCTTGTTCAATATGTGCGTCAACATCTGCAGTCGGCTGTCGTTGTTTCACAGGAAATACAAATAGAAATGAGTTGACTCCCCAGTGCTGATCATGGCTATTTTAAGTTTAATAGAGGCTTCACTGTATTTTTGCAGATTTTGAGTAGGTACATAATTTAAGTGTTGCCCAGGTATCCAAATCTTGACCCGCTTTTAGAGGAATTTTGCTATCAAAATGATGCCCCATTCAAGAAAATTTCAAATTTGATACAGACATATTCAAGAGATTATTTTTATTCCATTGCTGGTATAGTATGAACACTCATGCAAGAGAGAAAAATGAATTATTTCTATCAAATCCATATTTAATAATGTGCATAATTATTCTGTCTACAGTTTCACGACACTTACTGCAAGATCTGCACCAGGCGGAAAGTTTCCCAGCTTGGCCAAGAAGATTTTCTTGGTTTGTGTAACATACTGGAAACAAGAGGACTTCTTGGAATCAAGAGAGCTAAGGACACAAGAATGATGAAGGTTAGTCTAGCTTGACAAGATGCACAAGTCCTCTCTAGAGTGTTATTACATTTCCCTGGAGTTTGTCTTGTAACTATATTATACTAAAAAAATTATGGAAAAAGGTAGAGCTTGATTCTACCAAACGTTTGTACAGCAGTTACAAAGGTTGCAAAACATGTTCAGTTCAGGGGGTCACCTGAGACAACTTACCAAGCTATTTTGATTTATATTTTGTCTAGACAAAAGAAAATGTTCTTAGGGGTTTGCTTTACTTAACGAAAGTTCACAGTTAGCTACAATCTTGGACAGAATGAAATGGAACAGCAAACCCCCAGCCCCCACCACCCCCTCCCTCATCTATATTGTCCAAGATTGTGGAACAACATGTAGTTTAAGATTCCCCATGCTACATTTTTGTAAAGAAGCCAAAAAGGTTTTGAACTTTGTAAAGACAACACAGTTTGGCCAACAGGCAGCAGTCTATAGACAGGAACCTGTTCAGCAAAGAAAGCCCCTTCCCGCTTCAAACCCAATCAAGATGGTAAACACATTTACATCACAACACATTTGAATATACTACTGTCTCTTTTACAGGTAACACTCAAAATAGATGAGAAAGAAGTGGACTATGCACTCCAAGACAAAACTCTATTATCCAGTATTCTTCAAGAAGGAATGCCAACAACATCATGAAATCATATTATAGCTACAGTAGTCAGGGTTATTTTATTGTAATAATACTACCAAACTCCCTCTGCTCTTACATGCAGTGTTAGTTACCTGCATTGGCTTGTCCAACAAACATCCGAAAAAACATGTAATGGAGGTGTCTGATTGGCCTTCCTGTGGGACTTTGTAGCTACACTGTAAATAGGGTACCTAACCACAGGATACTCAGATTTACAATTGACCTTCTCAGAAATGAAGAACACATGTAAATTTCCAATTAGGGACAAGTATACTTAAACAGTTGTTTCCTAATAGCAAGTTAAGACAATAATAAGGGGTGTCTTGAATACAAAGACCCCTAAGCCCCTCACTGAATGACTCTGAACTTTATTGATTAGGGTTAGGAAACTTAGTTAATCAACTTTCAGGTCAGTTTGTCCAGTATAATGACTTAAATGGAACCTGATTCACTCAGTTTCCTAACCCTAATCAATATCTAATCATTTTCTGGGGAGTCTTTAAGCGGGGCTTAGGGGTCTTTGTTTTCAAGACACCGCAATAATAAGGACAAAATTTCAAATGCTTTATTTTTTTCTCTGAGAAGTGCAGCTAAGTGATCCAGATACTGTTCAACAGGTTTTAAACAAAAGTGAAATATTTATGTAATTATACCACATAAAAGAAGGTTTAATCCTCATATTTAATATTATTTTACTGCCAAAGATTGCTTGTTTGTAAAATGTTGATCATTGTGGTTTTTTTTTCAATTGCCTACCTTTGCCAGGAGATTTTCGGATAACGGTATATATTTTTATCAATTTATAAATTACGTGATGTCACTTTTAGAATAACGTACCTACATTCAAAGGGGTTTAACTGAAACTTCACTTTTCAAATTTTAGGAATTTAAATGTATATTGTTCATTTGTACTTGTATGGATTTGCATTTCTTAACACAAAAATATTTTAAAATGTTCTTTGTAAGTTGCTACAGTGCTGTTCTAGGGTTTAACTTATTATTACACCCACAATGTACATTTTGTATCTTTTCAATAAATAAAGGCTTAAAAAGCCAGTGTTACTAGTATTCCTTAGTGTTATTGCTCAATACAAAGTAGAGGCTTGACAACCAATCATCTTGTTAAAGCCCTATAGTTAATATATTAAACATTCAACCTGTATCATAGGCGGCTTCGGTTCCCCCCACTTTTTTTGTTGAGGGGAGGGGGTGGTGTAGCATAATAAATAAATTTCTTACATTTTAGGACTTAAAAACACTATTTTTATACAAAACTTTCATTGAATGGGTTTCTATTGAATCAGTTGGGTCAGTCCTGCATTTAATTTTGCTGAATGCTCTATTCTCTAAATAACATGAGTCTCTACATCGGTGCAAAGTTTTTCCGCTCCGAGACGCCTTAAAACATACCCTACGAACACAGTGAAGCAAGATCGGTTAAACAGCTGCATGCTTGCTCACTGTCACGAGACACTGGCTGACACAATCAACCCCGTTGCGATCGCCAAGAGGTTCGCAAGCGCAAACGACAAAGGAAGAGGTATTTTTGGGAAGTTCAAGTAAACCTCGCCTCATCTGTTTAAAACAAGACACGAGGTACACCGGGCCAATTGAATTGGGACATTTCATTTTTTTTTATCCGCACACGCTTTCCCCCCACCCCCACCCACACCCTCCTACGGAAGGCTATCCTATGTAGTTTTTGTTGTCGGCACCATTGAAGATTACATCCAGGGGATACAAATGTCAGTTGTCAGTTAACCCTATCAAGACCCTCCAAAATGTTGTACTAAAAATATATGGAATGAGATGGAGATGTTTTGCACTTAGTCTAAAATAGGGTTAGAGTGGTGCGGTTTAACTTTTTATAGAAAAGGGTGTGGTTTTAAGCTCTTGTATTGACATACAAAGACTCAAAAATGCACTCTATCTCTGACCTGTCACTTGTGTGTTGTATCAGCTCTTTTTCCAAATAGGAAGGAGTAATAAGAGAAAGTGTCAAAATACACCCGAATTCCCGAGATAATGAAAAAAAATTAAGTAAATCATGGAGAATCCCCCTCCCCTCACCCCCCGCCCCACCAAAAACTCCACTGAAAAAGGTGGCGCTGCTCATGTCACAACCTTTCGTTACATTTTTCCTACCTCATGAAAATGACTCCCATTAGGTCAAAAAATAGTTCAGAACGATCGTTCTCAGTCAAATACAAGCCACTATGGTAATCGCTCAAGCCTTGATCAAGTCAAACAAAGTAGACTGGGTACTAGGTCGTACATAATCGCCCACGAATGGTCAGCAGCATATCTCTCAAAAACAAAATGGCGGCAAAAATTAGCGGTGTTCTCATTGATCTGAGCGGGACCATTCACGTCGAAAATGCGGTGATGCCTGGAGCAATTCAAGCTCTTAAAAGGTAATTGTTCAAAAATATAGTTAAATCTGCTCGCAGATCGTTATAGGTGAAAGTGAGTCCAATATCTGTCCTGGTATTCCTACGACTTAGAGCCGGTGAAATTATTCTCGGATTTGACGATTTTAATAGTCTGTCACGATACATTTATCTCTCGCTATTGGGCATTAAGAACGTCGATCTTAGGTGTTGCTGTATATACGGGCCATTTGCTCCTTTTATGGGTATAAATACTCTGAACTCCGGTAAGATTTCCTGATAACCCCACCCAGGATTTGTACTGTGGATTTCAAGTTTCAGGGATGATCGAAGGATTTTTTTGGGTTTGAAATTTTAGATTTCAGGATTTTTTTGGGTAGGAAAATTTTGGCAAGTATTTTTTTTTGGTAGCTTGATTTAAGTAGGGATTTTTTGGGGTTATAATATGATAGTTCACGTGTATCCCGGCCGCGTAGTTCCTCTGGAAATTTTTATGGCTCGGAAATTCGGCATGGGATTTTTTGGGGGTTAAATTTTGGTCCAGGGATTTTTTTGGGTTTTGTTTGAAGCCCAAGAGATTTTTTTGGGTTTTGATTCTTGCCCCCATTCGATCATCCCTGTCACTTGAAATCCGGAGTTAACCCCCAAGGTAACCCTATACATTTATTGCATGGCATGCTTTTTCTCACAAATAGTTAATATGAATAGAGTCAAATGATGCATGCTTAATTGCTGGTTAGCTTGTGACGTCATGGCAGCTATGTTGGTGGTCAAGCACAAAAGCATTTTTCTCCTCTTGGGAAGTATAGATTAAAATAACACTTTCTCCTGGTGGATTTACCTGAATTTTGCTGCTCCATGACCACATGAAATATCAGAAGCCCTGTTTATAGCAAGAGCTTTGCATGATGAAGCCAGTTGGTGTCCTTCTCAGGGGCACCAATTTAGTGGCTGGAAATGGAGTGAAACAACTGTTATTTTTGATAGATTGAGGAACAACATTCACCCTCTGTTCCCTAAAAATCCTCTTGTCTGTGAACTGCATATATTTTCTTATATTTTCACAGACTTAGAAAGACTGGTGTGTCTGTTCGATTTGTTACTAACACCACTAAAGAGTCAAAAGATACATTGCTGAATCGTCTGAATGGCTTAGGATTTGACATCAAATCAGAAGAAGTTTTTACTTCACTTACCGCAGCACGACGGGTGGTAAAAAAGAGAAACTTGCGACCTTTATTATTCTTGGGATCAGATGCAAGCAAGGATTTTCATGGAATTGATGTCAATAATCCCAATGCTGTTGTAGTGGGACTCGCTCCTGATTGTTTCAGTTATGACATGCTCAATAAGGCATTCAGGTACTGGACCTATTGCCTTATTTTTTCTACTCTTTATTTTATTAGATTCACCTATTCTTGGCAGTTTTACTGCAACATTGTGGTTCAGGCCTGTGACCATTCCCCTCCCCCAAGAAAGATAAGAAATGTAAACCACACCACCAGGGCCATGCATTCCAACTCTTTTTGAAAATTAGCCCACAATTTTTTTTTTATGTCCCCTTCTGATTGATAAGGAATGGTGAAGGAGACAAGACCAACTGTTTCCAGTGTGTAATGTCACCACCCAGTGATGCAATCATCAGAACCACTCATAAATTCAGGTCTAAAGTCACGCATGATCTTAACAGATTTTTTCTTGTTTTTTTTTTCCCGCTGAAATCCAGTTGGAATCCATTTTACACTGTGGATAATCCACATTTAGCTTGGTTCTTTGCCTGCCAATTGATTGGTCCAAATAAAGTTAAAACTTGTACACAAACTGCTGTGTTTGTACTTTTTTTTTTTAAATCCCACAAGGCAAAATAATGCTGAGTATGCTTTTCAGTACACATTTAAAAATTAAAAAGGGCAAAACTGAAAGAAGTAGAAGAAAAAAGAGAAAGAATTAAATACTTAGGGACCTTCACAACAGGATATTCGTGAGGGGTCACCCATCTGGTTCCTAACCCCGCCCAACGCAGTTTAACTTGAATTGCGCTACCAAGAGTGAAGTTTTGGAAGGGTTGATGTGAGATTCAGATTTCTAGTCAAATATCCTAATATTATTGATTGGTCTGGCACTCACTGTATCCAAGATGGCCACCTGTGATTCAAAGCACTCGATCTAGACAATCTTTTGGAAAAAATAGCGGACTGTAAACAGTCTAGGTCTTAGGAGGATTTACGGTGTTGTACTTTTTGTCAACCTTTTACAGGCTTTTGCTGGATGGTTGTCCACTCATAGCAGTTCACAAAGTACGATACTACAAGAGAGGAGATGGACTGGCACTAGGTCCAGGTCCCTTTGTAACAGCTCTTGAATTCGCTTCAGACGTCAAAGCTGAAGTTATCGGCAAACCACAGCCCACCTTTTTTGCACATGCGTTGGAGGAAATGAAGTGTGATCCACAGTCCACAGTCATGATTGGTGATGTGAGTTAAATCTCGAATAGTTTTACAGTAAATACTGAATTTTCACTGTTCCTGAGTAATTGTTGGCTAGTATAAAGTGAACAAAATTTGCCAAAAGAGATACCATTTATTTAGCCTGTGTGGCAGGTGCTATTACCACTTTTTTTTGGTTAGTTTTCATGGAGCACATGAGGGAAGCACACAAAGGAAAGAGAAGGTCTTCTCTCCTTTTCTTCCCTCCTGCACACACTTACAGTTAAATTTACTGTGTACACCCTACCCCCCACATTTGAGGATTATTGGCCTTCCAATTTCTCCCTTCACCCAACAAAAAACCAGTGTCTGCTACACAGGTTATGATTATTTTATTATGAAAAAGTCTTATATCTTAAAGGAGCTGTGTCATGATACAGTGCAAACTGCCACCAAACTTAGTGAAACATAAAAATTTCGGCTCAAAACATGAAAAGAAGATAATAACACAGCAAATATCAAAGGAGACTCAGATAAACAAACTTGAGGAAGATTCAAATGGATTGCAATTATTGTGGTTTTTTGGTTTTTAAAAAATTGTTAGCCTAATAGTTTTTCAAAGTCATTTCATTGTTTGTAACGTAGTAGGGGCACCGGAAAAAGAAAAAAAATAGCCAGCTGTCTCAATCCCTCAAGCAGGCCATACCTTCTCTTAATCACAACAAAGAACAATGCGTGCCTACTGGTCACCAGTTGTACTTGTGTAAAGCTGAAATATTTGGTCTTATCAACGTTTGTCCAAATGTGTTGGTCAATGCTCATCCTCACAGCCTGTATAGACTTACAAGTACAGCGTACCTTGTCCTTTTGTGTTGTACTGTGTACGTTGTTGTAGGGTTATTTTCAGAGTTAAATGGGTTGGGGGGGAGGGTGGCGCAGCGGGGAAAGAACTCCCCCTCACCAATGTAGCCCTGGTTAAAATCCCGTAGTCGGTGCCATATATGGGCTGAGTTTGTTGCTGGTTATCTCCTTTGCTCTGAGAGGTTTTTCTCTGGGTACTCCGGTTTTCCCCTCTCCTTAAAAACTAACACTTTCAAATTTCAATTCGATCTGGAACGCATGGACACGTTTCAACGAGTTCTTAAGAACTCCTAAGTGCGTCATTGGTAAACAAATCACAAATCACACGAAAGAGCTTGCAATTATCTGTATGTACATTCAGTTTTCTTGCTGACATGTTTAGCTGAAAATTAATGAATCAGGGTAACTTTAAGTCTGTGATTGTCAGGGTTTATTAGCAGGCACAGACTTAAAAATATTCAACGCCATTTTTGTCTTTAGGATGTAAGAGACGACATTGGTGGAGCAGAAGCTATTGGTATAAAAGGATTTCTTGTACAAACAGGTTAGTTTATTCCTTTCATGTAAACTCAGGCTACTCTCAGACGGAACCGGGCAAATTTTCGACCGGTTGAAAATTCGTGGGTTTAGTTGTTTCATTCACTGGGAACCACCCTAACCGTGCAAAAATTCAGACGCCTAGCCGTTCAAAGTTTCTCTTGAACAGTCCTTGGTGAACAAAGTAGGGACTTAGAGATCCAACGATCTTTCCGTCTTTTTTGAAATTATTCCTACCCACTTACTTTGTCAAAAGTAGGCGAACCCTCCTGAAGTTGAATTCCTAGGGACCATATCCAAGTGTAGAAAGAGAAACAAAATTTCGTCGTTGCTTGTTTACGCACTCCATAAAACTTGAACAGGCATGTTCACGTCGCAGTCGTGCAAAAACGGGCAAAGAAATGTACAAAAAATGCGTGGTGCACGTGCAAAGTTGTTGTTTTGCTAATAAAACCTATTGTTTTTTTGACGTTCTCGTTAACGTCCGCGTCGTAGGATCTTAAAGTCCCTAGTAGAGTCCGGTCAAATTTTTCAGCCTGACGAAAATTCGTCTGTTGCACTGTGAACGTAGCTTCACACTCGCTTTCTATTATTTTACCATAACCCTTGTCAAAACATATAATTTTCAACCATTCCTTAAAATTGTGTAAATATGGAAAACTTCATGGAAAGTGGGTGCGAACGGAATTTACGCTCGAGTTGCTGACGTATCAGAAATCGAACGAGTGAGCGCAGCGAACGAGTGAGATTTCTAACACAAAAACGAGTTCCGAAATCCTAAAATGCCAAAATATCCCGCTACACGCCGCGAAATAACAAAGAAAACGAAGTACATTAGCATTAAAAAAACGCTTGGTAAAAAATTATGAGGGTGAGGATATGAAGTAATCCAGGAATCATACGTAATATTTAACTTTTTTTCTGAATGTACAAATAAAAATGATAATTTTGACGAAAATGACCGGTTTGTCTAAAGAGGCGGGAATTTTGACGCGAAACTCACACACCTCTGTAGCTTTTGATTGATGGACGTATATTTTCTCACACGTGAAAAAACATCGTTCGCGATTCTGATTTGACGTATTGAGTGAAAAGCATCGTTCGCTCCTCTGATTGGCTATGCGTATGAAAATTTACGTCATAGCTTCTCAGTGAGTTAGTATGTACATATCTGTGATCTGTTAAGGTTTCCGAGTAGTTTTTAAAGTGTATTAGATATACTTTGTGAATTCCTGCCTCTTGAAGAACTACTTAAATGATCTTCCAGGTAAATACCGGGAAGGAGATGAAAATCGCCTTGAGAAACCACCTTTTGCTGTCTGTAAAGACTTCTCTGCGGCCGTTGAGCAGATTTGTACAATGTTATGACAGACGCATCTCTGGAGGTTGGGCGATGGAAAGAAGACATTCACCAAAGTACTGCAGAATGGGAACCTATCATTGTGCTTTTCCATCGTGGTAGTTCTTTCATGTGAAGGAGACAAACAGCTAAAAAGCGGCATGTTAGTACTGAGAGGACGGAGCTCTAGATACAAAGCAAACTCTTGAGAGCTTTATTGCTCGTCTTTCGCGATGGCATCATTTAACTACAGCTATTAACTTTGAGTTATCCTTTCTTAATAGATCGCATTTGAGAGAAGTCCGAGTAAGTTTTAGTAACCTTGTAGCCCAATAAATATTTACAAGAAAACAAAACCCACATTATTTTAGTAGTCGGTTAAAGTGATACCATCCTGCACATAGCCTAAACTTCGGAAGTTATAATCGTTAAGTATTGTAAAATCGTAAGATAGAATAATTATAAATAATTTAAAATAACATTTAGATGCGAAAGATGTCCAATAAAGAAAATCCTTGGCATCACCAATTATTCACTGCACTATTCAAATTTATTTTACATGTAACTTTAGTCAGCTCTCTCTTAGCGACCACTCTGTAAGGCCCCATTATTATGGAGAAAACTTTTCCCCGGTAGAAAGGTCACTGCCTACCCAAGCTACCCTGGGCGAGCCAACTTTTCCTACATTTCCTTGCAAAACTTGTCGAACCGTTTATACTAGAAACTAAATGTTGGATGTTGGCTCTAGTTGCCTAGTCCCTGGGCTTCATTATTCCGCGCGGCCAAATCGTTTCGGGTCACGTGGTCCAAGCGAAGATGTCCCGCCTGTTCGTCTCGGATACGTCACCGAAGTGAATTGACCAAGAGGGCCTGGGAAAACACCGTATAGGGACTAGGAAAGGCTCTACCAGAAGGGTGACTTGCCCCAGGGGCCCCCGGGGACCCGCCTAGCCCGTTCACCCTTTTTCGATAGTAGGATCATGGCAGGATCACCCCCTAGCCGGGCCTACTTTTCTCCATGTAAACAAACATTTTTGCTCACTCCGTCAAGAAGAGACAATCTGAGCATGGCGAGTACTGTTGTCAGCTCTTGGCTCAGGCAAAGTGGTCAACTTTTATCTCCTATTAACGCCCGCCTAAGTTGACTCGGCTGGGAGTATGACCCTCTTTCCCGGGACCAAAGACGGAGATCTTCCTTAAAACTAGCGCCTGGTGATGGTCAATGGCTGTCTTCTGTCACTAGAGAGCCCTATACGAAGTCGAGGGCAAAGAGAACGTAAAAACCAGTAGGTTTCATAAGCAAAGCAACAATTTGCACGTGCAGCACACTGTTTGGTACATTTCTTTGATGTCACTGCACTACCAAGACCTAAATTTCCTTAAATGCAAAGCGATATGGTGGACGTGAACACACGTTGACGAAATTTTCTTTCTCTTACTAAATTTGAGTGCGGTCCCGAAGAATTCAACTCAAGGATAAATTCGCCGACTACGAGGTGGAATAAACTTGACCAAGTTGGAAAATTAATGCCGTAGCTATCTTCGACGCTAAAGCTCCCCACTCTCGGTATAACTTGAAAATCTCTCTAAAACAGACGTTGCAGTAAGACCCAACATGTCTCCCACGTGCGGGATCCAGTGTAACCCCGTTGGGATACTGAGTTTGTTGAGGAATCACAGGAACCCATCATCCCAATTGACCAAAAGGTTACAGCGCTTAGACTTGAACACCATTTTTAGAAATTGTCGGTGTTCAAAAACGTCCGCACAGTCCAATACTTGGCATTTAATCTTCTCTTAAACCTCTCTTGAAAGGTTCTTGTTAGTTAAACACTTTGTGGTTGGCACCATACCGTCATCATCCACCTTTGCAGGAAATCCCACTTCGCTCCAATTAGCTGAGAGCAACCTCATTCTTAGAGCCCTTTTAGATGCAACCCTTAAGACCAGGTTGAGTTGAGATTTTTTTGACGCGAAAGTTAAATTTAGAAGTAGCACGGAAACCTAACATGTCCCTAACATGTCGCTCTCATTTTTTTTTTGGACATATGTTCGTAATGCAGACTCCTCAGGCGCTTCGTTTTTCGCAGAGGCGAGCGCGAAACGCAAGTGACTGGTGACGAAGGGCAACTGTTTTCCTAAGGATTTAATCTTTGTTTCGTCCTTCAAGGGTAGGCTCGATTTCCACCGCACTCTCGGTCCTGAGAGGAGCGAGGGCTCATTTCCAGAACAGCGGCTGGTAATCAAGCCTACTTCAAGGATCAAAACATACTACTGATTCCGGTCAAAATTTCCTTAGCATGCACAGGCAGGGAAGGGTTCCAGGGGTCTCTTGTGGTATAAGTGCACGACTTTATTGATAAACTAACGTGGGTCCTCTGTAGTCTAAAGACACAACATATCTAACCAAAGCCAGGCCCACCTACCCCGTCCATAACCCAACTTTAACACTTACTTCTCACTTAAGACAAAATTCTGGTTAACGGCCGGGGGTTGTTGGTGAGTTTTGATACCTGACGTATGACGGGATTTTACCATGCCTGGCGTGTTGGAGATCCCCCTTGACACAAAAGGTTGGGTCCCCCCCCACCCTGGAACGAAACAAGAATTTTCGCAACTTGGAAATGGCCTAACAAGTTAAAGTAATACAAAAATAACTTTAATAAAGGAAAAACGATATTAATTTTGTTTACAGACAGAAAACATCTTCGCGGCCCTATCGGGCCCAAATAATCTCCAGAGAAACGACTTAGGTAGGTGAGGTAATCCGCTTAGGTGAGGAAACTCGCTTTTCCATATAATCTCTCATTTTAATTTGATCACGTTTACATTATAGGTAGGGTGACCCACCACGGGTTACCTCACTTACCTTAGGTCTGTCTCCTCCATGTAAACAGGCCCTTACATTCCCCAATAATGGGTTCGTCAACCCGACATCCCGAGTACCAAAAAAGAATTGAAAAAGTTGCGTGGATTGAAAATAAAATCGCAAAAAACCTGTCGGGATCCTCGTCATATACATGTGTACAATTGAAAGTGTTGATTCTCGATTGACGTATGTATAACAATAATCATGCATGACTGTACGTAAACTTGGTAATGTGTTATGTATGACGCGAGCGCAAACTGTAACGAGTATATTTCTAAACGAACGTATATGCAAAATGAATTGTATATTTATACACGCACATATCTGTTCTTCCATGTCACCTTGAAAAGGTTTCTTCTAGGTAGTTAAGAAGAATTTGTACTTTCATCGTGTTCACCCCAACTCCAAAGTGGGTACCGTCAAAACTATGAACTCCAGCCGTCATGTTGAAACTATCAAACACTGTTATGTTATGTTGCTCGCAGTATTTTGCAAGGCTGTTATTGAAGGACAAAATCGCAGGATTTCCCTGGTCACGATGGTAATTGATTGGTTTCAAAGGACCCATTGAATGGGTTGACAACCAAATAAGGTGCGGCCAACCATTTTTGGAAGTTGCAACCAACTGAACTGCGGGCTCAAGATATGACTGAATAACCGCTGAGGCGTTGAAGTTATTGTGTATTCCAATACCCATAAGAACGACAGAACCAACTTTGTTGAGGCGTTTTTTGATGGCAAGAAGAGCTAGATCTGCAACTTCCACTTTATACGCCTTAACGTACGAGATTTGAAATTTCGCCCAACCATCACAGAAATTGGGATGGTCCGTTAGGTCACGCCACGTCATTGCAGTGTGAACGTGACAAATACTGTCCACGAATTGGCTATCTCCTTTACAGATGTCACGCATCTTGGGTGCGGTGTTATATTTTAAGGCGCCGTGGAGCGGATCATTCGTCAAAATGATCACCATGGCGGAGAAAAGATGTCTCACTAGGGAGTCTCCTATGAAGGTCACACTACTGACTCCTCGAGATATTGATTCGCAGGCGGACTGTTGAGTGAAATTTATAACACGGCAACCGTTAAGTGGCAGCCACTGAGCTAGCTCCGCGGAGATAAAAGACTTATAATTTATACAGCTGGGGCAGCCACAAAACTTGTCGCCATGGCCACACCAGCCTGTGTTCCCATGGCAACAGTAATTCTCGCTGTCTGTATCGCACTGAGCTTGTACGTCTAAAACATAAGGTCGATCTTTATTTCTTGTTTTACGAGGAAGAGGAAATCTCGGACCACAACGTCGGTCTCCGTGAAAGAGTCGCTCGGGCCAGCCCTTGCGCATGCGTAAGATAGCGTCCAATTGTCTTCGGTTCTGTAAAGCCTGGATGCTGACATTTCTTTGTACCCAGTGCCCTTTGGTTAGCGTTTTAAATGCGCCCCGACAGCGCGAGTGAAAGGACTGGAGAGGAGGAGCATGGTAGACGGCTCGGATTTCATGTCTCATGTAGCAGGAGAAGTAATACACGTACAACAGCATTAAGACAAAAAGAAACGCCGTGCAGCTCTGTCGGCAGATATACCAAGGTTCTCCTTAAAATAAAACAACACACACTTAGCTGTACAAGTCTCTTGTACAATGATATTGTAGTAGGGCTCGGAGATGAATATAATCTGTCCTCAGTCAGTGAGGAATTCCATTTGTTCTTATTCCCACAAGTGCCCCAGTCAGTGCGTAGCTGCGTAGCAAGCGCCGGTTGTTCATTTTACAGGCCGTGCGAGACCGCGCGAAGACATTTCTTCCTTCCCCCTAAAAACCGTCGCCTGCTACGCAAGCTGCAAGTGCTCTTAATGTATTTAACGCTGAGTTTTGATTCTTCCACTATCCTGCCTCGCGTCCAGGCGTCACTCGTCACTCATTGGTTTCACACGACATGAATAGCGTGGTGCCATGGGAAGGATGCACCTCACCAACCTCGTTCCCAGAGTTCTCTCCCACTCGTGGTCTGCGCAGCCTCTCTCCATCTCTCTTCCTTCGCAAGGATGAGTAGGAGGGACCCTGGGACCGAGGTTGGCACCACAGTAGGGGGTGTCGCAGTGAGTATGGGCATCCCCATTCCCAAAACCCTAGTGATATGGGTATCCCCTGTAACCCTAACCCTAACCCTAACCCTAACCTAAATAGCTGAGGTAATACGAGGGATGCCCCTATCACTAGAGTTTTGGGAAAGCGGATGTCCAAAACGCGGGGATGCTCATATCACAGTGACTGGGGGACTTTTGCATTTCATATCAGTCCCATGTTTCCCTGCGCTCTCCGTTTACCGCTTTTTAGCGGCACGCAGCAGTTTAATCGCACATCAGATTGTCGTGATAAGACAAACCATCAAAAGTTATTGTTTTCTGTTTACTTTTACCCGCTCAAACCGTCCTCTAAAAGTCGTTAAGATAAACGATATTGTTTCGTCATGAATTCGATTCATTCTCTTTTTTACTGGTATACAGTCAAGAGATGATAACGTCCAAAGATTCTCTATTTTTCCACTATCCTCTTTTTCTACGGTGGGACAGTTGGAATTCACGATGTTTTATATGGAATTGACAAGAATAAAATATAGATAATAATGACAATCAACCTGTTGAAACAGCGCCGTTAAGATTCAATTAAAATTCGATCGACGCTCTTTTGGCCAATTTGAAATTTAAGCCAGCTTTTCTAGTTGTTATTGCTTATTTAGAATAAAAATTTCGCCAGTTTCTGAAGTTTTTAAAGAGAAACGCTTAGGAGACAGATTATTTAACAACTATGAATTATATCGCGATTTATGTCTTAATTCGTAGGTTTAGTTTTGACAGCGTATGGTGAACACCATCGCTATACCCTATGTAATACTGTTTACCTTCAGTGATCGCCGAATTCTTAGCAGGAATAAAAATCGACATATAAATGACAGCGGCAAAACTTGAGTTAACTTCTTAACATCTTATTAAGGTACGTGATTATCAACGGAATATGGTAAACTACAGTCCCTTTTGACTCGTGACAGATTACTAATTATTGTAATCGGTTATTTTGGTCAGACGAGAGTAAGCAAGAGATGAACTGTAAAGGTTAGAAATATTGTAATTTGTTTGTCTGTTGAAGTAACATGAACTTCCACGCGCTATCGCTTATCTCACGATTTCTAAACTTTCGCTTCGCTTATCAGTTTCAGCCCCATTGAATAGTTTGTGTTCGTGGGTTAGTTAAAACTACTCACCCAATTACACTAACCTGCCCATAGTTTCTTGTTTCCGACCACAGATAGCCGCACGGGTTGAAGGTGTCTGTCTTTGATTTCCATCCAAACCAATTGGCTGCCACCACACAACACTAAAGTAAGAAAACCAGGATAGAGTCCTCCATTGGAAGTAATCTGTCAAACTTCAAGGCACAAATAATATATAGAGCACTCGATGATGATCAGAAACCTTAACAAATCGACGGTTGATTAGACTAAGCTTGCTGGTAGAAATAAATCTCCCGTGGAGGAGTTAACCATGTCTGGTGACACTTGCCTTGATGTGGGCAAACAAGCTGAATATTTAATAAAAACTCCTCCTTAAACGAACCTTAATATTCCTCGAGCCAGAGTGTGGACAAGCTGTTAACGTCTCCTTCGCTTGTATCGTTATTCGTTATTTTTACACATGACCTTAAGCCAAGTTTTTATGCCTCCAAGTCATCAGTCCTTGTTTAAAACCCCCAACACGTATCGTAAGAGCCTCATAACAGGTAAAACTTACGCTAATGATTTGCACAAATAAACTTGAAGAGCTTTTTCGATATAAGTTCGCGAGCGTTCATGCAATGACCTGTATCGAGTGAAGACAGGGTTGCGAAAAATGTAGCGAAGCGAGCACCACGACCAAATTAAACTTTTGACGATAGGAATACGAGGTTTATAAGAAAGGCCACGCACGAGTAAACAACAAGAAAAACTTTGTCAATGAAGCTTTTAAAACTTCCAGCGGGTACCCTGTATTTAAGACGATGCAAAACCATAACAATTTTAGGGTACCGGTAAAATTGTCAGAGCTCTCGACAACAATGAGGTTTACATAAAAAAGCAACTTTTCTGGACAACTTGTGGTCAGTTCAGTTAAACTTAGTGTCTTTTCAAAATTTTATTTCTGAGGCACCTTCAAAGCAGGTGCCAAATGGGTTGCCAGCCTCTGTTCACTGTCGTTTTGACTCATGTCCGTGGTTTTGCAATTAGGAGTAGATAGCGTAAAGGCGAAACTAAATTCCGGAGGCTCTAAAAAGGTTTAAAATTCGTTATTGAGCCTCTCAAAATTTAATATTGCGAGCCAAAATTATAGCGGCACAGTTAATTTGGCATTTTGAGGCTTGTAAAAGCATTGTCTTAAAATTAACGGTTTGAATTGCTGAACCAATGTTCTCTTTCAGTCATAGTTCACTGACTGAATAGAAAAAGTAGGTTGGTAACCCTGTGTTATGTTTAAAGACTGCGATGACGTAATAAAGTGACGCTCGGCAGGGCATGAAATAGCCTGTTCCAGGCTCTTAACTAGTCTGTGTAGCAAGCGCATAGAAGTAGTGGGCGCAAGAACAGGAACAGGCTAGGCATGAAATGTCAATTTTCATTAGTTATACACTTGTCGCTTTCTTTGTTTTTAATCGATTCTTAATCTTTTCCCTTGATTATTTAAAGTTAAGCTCATTCTACTTGATCAAGCATTCTTAAATCACTAAGATAATAAACGAGCGGCAAAGATCAGATGAAATTATCACCTGGGAAGAACTAACAGATGAAAAAGTTTAAAAAAACGAAGAAAATAGGACGGAAACAGCATAAAGCCCAAGGAACGGATCTTGTTACGGAGTTTTACAAAGCCACGTAAACCAGCGGAAAGAAATGAACAGAAGACTAAAATTATTGCTTTATATTTTAATTATGTGACAAAACTGTATTGCATTTTAAGTCTGTTCGTTCAGCGAAGCAAACTGTTTTTGCTCCAAACAATAGGTGTGGAGTGTTAAATTGGCTTTAGGAAACGACTTTTTTTTCTAAAAATTTTTTTTTTTCGATATGAATGAAGCCGATTCATGTCTCTTTTAATGTAAGATTTGTTATTTTGAGAACAAACAGTTTGACGCAAAAATCTTAGCACAAATTAAATTCACCAGGGCGAGCGTCGATTGGGCGAAAAAGTTTACCTTAAGTAAAAGTTTGACATGTTTTAACCCCTTAATATGGCGAACCATGTAAAGTTTAACCCACACAATTTCGAGGCGAAAACAATTAGAGCTGAAATGGAATGAATTCGAGCAAGATGGCTGATGACTTGATCGCGCAAACTTCAAGTCGAAGCATCGGGGGTACAATAATGGAAGTAGCTCTTTGTAGTGTGATTGGCATGTTTGCCCTATTTGGAAACGTTCTCGTTGCATTCGCTGTAATTCGCAGCCCAAAACTTCGGACCTCAACGACTACTATGTTTATTCACGCGCTGGCGATCGCCGACATACTTACTGCGGTAATCTGTGCACCGATTACGTGTGCGATACTGGCATCAGACGATTGGATAAACACGCACATTCTTTGTCAAATCCAAGGGTTTTCAGTTTTTACACTGGCTTTGATGTCAATAGGAACCTTGGCGCTCACAGCCGTCAACCGCTTCTTTCGCGTGGCGAAACCTGCACTTTACAAGCGTTTCTTCACGAAGAGAAACTCGTGGCTTTTAATTGGCTCAATGTGGCTCTCAGTCATTGGATTCTACGCTGGAATCCTTGCGAGCAATTCAACTCACATCCGATATGAACCAAGTTATGCCGTCTGTGCAATTGCGCACACTCTTTTACAAACATTAGTAGAGTTCGTGTTTGTTATTATTGCGTTAATTACAATCGTTTTGTCTTACACTCTTGTATTTGTCAACATAAGAAAACACCAGGTCTCCGTGGTGACATCACTGTTAAGCGGACAGCGTAGGAATTCAAATCTATCCGTGGAAGAGATCAAGATTTCCAAGCTTCTTTTCATGACAGTTCTCGCTTTTGCAGTTTGCTGGGTTCCAAGTTTGGTCATAATTACCATGGATCGAGCCGCCACTCACACTACCCCTCCGCGCGCGAGAACGCTCCTTTGCACGTATCTGAACTACCTCAGCGCAGCCCTTAATCCTATCATATACGGGGTTATGAATCGTTCCTTTAGAGCGGAGTATAAGAAGATTCTTTTGTGCCGCAAAACTCAAGTTGGAATGCCTCAAGATAGCAGCAAAAACGCCAGGACATTAAGAAACACTGCCCATGCTGTGGTACTATTGAAACGATGCGCTACTCCAGTCAAAAATGAGTTGGAGATGACAAAACAACCTTGCTCTCCTTTGGCTAAACAAGAGGTTTTAGAATCTGCGGCATCCGAGAATGTAGAATTGTTGCTTGTACAATCGCGGAGTTCGTCACCTTGTTATGGAAAGGCTGCATTGTCGAATAGTTTTCGCCCATCGTCTTCGAAACAGCAGTAAATTTAAGTCCTTAAAGTGCTACCTTCTAAGATCACATTCAGAAACGGCGTTAATGAGGTGTAGCTGTACTGGAGACGGTACTACGCGTATAAGGGGAATTGCGACTGAGGGAACGAGTGTAAAGGCAGGTTAAGGGTATTAGTCAGGATCACCCTTGTACATAGGCGTTTTTTGCGGGATTGTGCCAAGTTTGGATGCAAAGCGGAACTTAAATCACGCCTGCGAATACGGTAGTACCATAACCATAAAACCGCTTCAAAAAGGAAGAGATTAAACAGCACGTTTATTTCTTTTATCTTCAAATCAATACATTTCCTAAACGATTAAGAAAATATTTAACTACTTTTTATGAAAACCATACCGTAAACTGACGCTTATAAGCTCTGGGCTTATACATCTTCAACTTCGTAAGCGGTTCTAGGAGGCCTTGTAATTAGAGGGGCTTATACCCGAGGTGGCGTATACCAAAAAAAGCTATAGCAGTGCTGATCAAAAAAAGTTTTACATTTACTGATCTTTATGAAATAACTAAGATAGTACACGCGCTCTGATTGGTTCAAAACCTATGGTTTATTGTGCCGGTAAACTCATATAAATCTTAAAGTTATTTCATAAAAGCAATAGACCACACTTTCTATGGGTTTACCGGTGTGATAACCTACGCGGGATGTTGGGAGAACACTCGAAAAGCTTGTAAATCGCGAGCCGAACATACCGCGTGGGTTATCACGCCGGTAAACCCATAGAAAGTGTGGTCTATTTCTTACAAGAATTCTGCATTAAAACGTGATAATAACGCGAAATCAGTTTCGTAACATTTGGAGGGAGGCTCAAATCCGGGGGGACCTACAATCGGATATATTTTTTTGTTTAGAGATAGATGGGCCTATAGGTAGAGAGGCTTATAAGTAGGGAAGCTTATAAGTGACAGTTTATGGTGTGCATTTGAATATACAAATCACAGATTAACTATCGATGCTCATGAAATATAAACACTTCTTATAACAATAATAGTCTGTACCAGGCTCTCAGATAGTAGGTACGTTGGTGGAACAATGTCAAGGGGAAAAAAGGAAGCGCGTGATCTTGCCCCGCGCGTTTTTCGCATCAGTTATCACGATCGCTGTACATTCGCCACTTTGGCACGAGAAGGGAACTGGAGCCGAAATGCGTCCCGCAGTGGTTTCTGGGATTGTTACTGGGGACGCGCTGGTCAGCTTGTTAGGGAGCTTTCGCAAAGGCGTTTTTGGGCGACGGGCGTCAACCGGAAGTGACGTCTTTTCCCTCTAAATATCCTTTGACGATATAAAATTCGTATTGCTTAGCTTCTGTACTCTTATAGAGACAATTTTACTTAAAATTTGGGCGAAACCACCGCTCAAGAATGTAAAAGGTCCACTTCTGGTTAACGTGCGTTGCTCAAAGACGCCTTTGAAGCTCCCGATTGGCCAATATTTTCTCCTGTCTCTAGTAACAGTCCCGGAAGTCTTTGCCATAAGTTAACTCGACGCAGTTTCCTTGGTGTTACTAAAGTGAAGAATTATATCTTGGAGCCTGGATCAGGCGAATAACAATAATTATGGCTTATACAGCGGTAAGGCGTAAATAAAATACTATTGATTCCCAGTAAATAAGATAAACCGTTGGTGAATCTTAGCTCACGTCACTGTTTAGATTTTTGCTCATTAGGGTACTAGTTTAATTAAATGGCGTCGGTTTATATACAAATGGATTTAAAAGCTGAAATAGCTGGTCGACCTGAGCAAATTGTTTTTTAGCTTTTTTACTCAATATCTGAGGAAATAACACTGATAAAATGCTGCAAAATGAACAAGGGTTTTTGAAAAGAAATCCTCCATAACTATTCTGTAATTCGGGATTAATAATATTGCTATTCTCTTTCAATATATGGAGATGTTGTTTTAAAAGCTTGGTCAGGGAAGATAAGCAAAGTGTGTTAATGTGACAAAATATATAAACAAAGATTCGGTTATTCTATCATATATCTATAAATGCATGCGGTTCTTATATACCATAACGCACTACCTACACTGCATATATATATGTTGTATCAATCAGTTTTCTGTAAGATAAAAGAAATCTTATTTACCGCCGTTCGGTCAGTAGTACTTCGGCCTTCATGTTCTATAAAAATGGCGGAGCTGTCAGAAAACTATAAGATAAATGGTCCTTAATTTCACACTTTTTTTTCAAGCAATTTGCCGTTGTTATATATGATGAATATCTATAATAAATATCCTTTGAGATGCTCATTGTCTTAATATCGTGGTCTAATTTCAGTTCCCGTTGTCAGAGTTTGCTCGCTTAAAACAAGCCCCACCATTACGCAACTCTTATCGCATCACTAGCTACACCACTACATGTTACATGTAAAACTACTAATTGATTATTCGTCTTTGCTCCACCGACCTAGCACTAGACAGCAACACTACCATCACCACCCCAAGCATAATCATCATCATCATCATCATCATCATCACCATCACCATCACCATCCCCATCATCATTATCATCACTATCACTATCATCATCCTCATCATCATCATTATCACAGACATTCACCGTTGATCGACGTTTCTAGCATCAAACATGTTGATCCAGGAAGGCAACGAAAAGTCTGCACATAATTTTGTTGCCATAGTCACTTCAAAATTGGCGGAAACTTAGCGATTTGTTCGCCATTTAAGAAGCATCACGCCAAGTTTAAGAAAAGAAAGTGAGACTAACCTGGAGTGAAAAAAAGTGGGTTCTTTTTAAACCCCGATCAACTAACGGTTCTAACCAACGTCTTAGCTAGCAAGAACTGAAATCGGAAAAACGTCGTGAGAATTTAGGTGTAAACTTAGTCCAGCCGTTATTTGGATAAGTGTTGAAAAAAGAATACGTAGCAGGGTCAAGCTCACGAAAGTTTCGTTGACGGAAAGCTTATCTGGATTGATCTCTCCTTGCTGATGTGTAAGATAGAGACAAAAGTGATCTCACTTGTAGGTCCTTAGAAATGAAAAGGATTTGCGAGCTAAATTGGCGTATGTTCTTAAGGCAATGTTTGGCGGCAAGTTTAAGAATGAAATAACACAATAGCGCCCAAAAAAAACACTGACACGTAATCTTTGTAAAAAAAAAAAAAAAAGAAAAGAATATTCAGCTTTGTTAGAAGAACGTTAGACATGCCCTATTATTCAAATTATTGGCAGTCGCCTAAGGCTGAGGAATACAGTCTAATTTACGACTTTCACTCCCGTAAAATTCGCCAACTTTGGGAATATTCAGTGACTTGGAATCATGGCTTCGAATTTGACGTTTTCGCCTCTGTCGCTCTCGTCGTTGCTAAAACTTTCTAATAGTCGTACAGCCCCTTTGGTTGGCGCCCCTTCCGCTGCCACTGTGATTGTCGAGCTCTTGTATGACTCTTCAAAAAAAAGAACCGGTCGACTACTCTACTTAAATTAAAAAATTAAATCAAATCAGAATAAAATCTATTCTCTAGGCTGGGTTATTGTGCGCATTATTTTACACTTGCAATACTGTCATATACAAAGCGCCTCTTACTAATGTTGACGCACAAAAACACAGTTCACTCCTTGTCCGTTTCTTGGCATGTCAAAGAAAGACAGTAAAGCACTTTACTATCTTCGCTAAAAGACCTTAAGCGTTGACAGTAGAATCCCGATTTCTCGAACCCTCCGTTTTTCCGGCGGAATTCCCGATTTTTGGAACCAAAACCTAACTTCCCCTCACCAGTCAAACACTGTAATTTTACCTTCGATTTTTCAAAACCGGCCTCCTGGTAATTTGAATCAATTTGCTTTTCCTAGGTGGTTCGAAAACTGAGGATTCCACTGTACTTATACTCGTGGGCTCAACGCTAAACTAAAACACTCTTGACTCCTGTTGCATTAAGAGCTTTACAACACGAACCTCATAACATCTCGCTACCTTGGTCAAAAGAACCAGCGCTTCGTGCGTCAGTGTTATCGTACATCAGTTCCGAAGGCGGAGGTGAGGCTGATGGCGACGACCCTCTCTGTTTCTCCTGCCCACGAAGTCGGCCCGCTGCCGCTGGAAACAGGCTCGCTTCAACTAATCCGAGCCCTGAGGAGTTTTCAGGCGGCAGTGTGTCGAATTCGGCGCGTGACATGGTCGGCGTAGAGGCGTAGTTATTTTCCACTGATTTGGTGTCGTACTTGTAGTCATACAGCGGCTTCGCTTTGGGTTTCGCTCGGAAGCGAGGAGGTGGATCTGACTCTTCGGAAAACGACTCGGAGAGATTTTCCAAGCTGAATGTCTCCTTGTTCGTGATGCACTGACACTGGATCAGATACTTTAAATGCCGCTTGAACTCGGGATTGTAGAGAAAGAAAATAATAGGGTTTAAAACGGTTACGCTGTACGTGAAGATGTGTATGACGTTAAGCGTGTCCTGGAAGTATAACTTCTCCTCGCCATCGTCGAAATCTTTAATAAACCACATTATGTGATACGGCAAGAGTAAGATGGCAAATACGACGATGTATGCGACCAACATGCGGAGAATACGCTGGTGACGGTCACGGCGGCCGACACGTTCAGGATCAAGGACTTTAAAACTAGGAGTAAATTGAAAGAAAGCGTAATACTAAATACCACTAAAAATAAGCAGCAATTTTTGTGGGCCGTAAGGAAGGGGGGTTGGGGAGGGGGGGGGGGGG